ATGTACAAAGAAATAAAGAACTAGTTTGAGCTGCAGACTCAATGATCACGTGAACATTTTGATAACCTGTGCAGGTGATTTTCCTTTCTTTTCCTCTCAGAATTTCTTAGAAAAACTCATGAATATTTGGGAGAGATCTCAAAAGTCTGTGGAAACACTCATGTTCCCACATCATTTCTTGTTCTCACAGACTTCAACTTATGATTCAATAATTTGATAGAAACACAGTAAATGTAAAAAGCCAACGGATTGACTGGCTATCTACATGTAATGTCTTTGTAAGTTATCTTTAACATTTACAACAGTAATGTAGATGTACATTGCAGATGCCAATTCCCAACAGCAGTTTTACCATTTTCCTTATTAAAAGTTGTATACATGTACATGGAAGACAATTTATTATCATTTGGTTTTGCTTTGTAGGAGAAGAGCAAAGGAAAGAGACATGTCACCACAAGTAATGGCACTGGTAGGTCGCTTGGTTTTCATGTACGTGATGCTTTTAAGATAAAGAGTAGTGTATTAGATTTTTCTAAACTCTGTAATCTTTGCATTTTATATTATTTTGTAGGTGATTAATGATTATAGGTCAAATTTAATCATCACAATTAAGGAAGTTTTTTGGAGTCATAAAAATTCTGAATACTTGGGTAGAACGATGTTTCACCTGTAGACATATAGTAAAAATTTATACTAACTAATGTATACTACAAGACTATGTCAGTGCTCTTTGTGATGCTCCTATAGATGATGCCAAGCAAAAGTTTTTTGTACTGCCCAAGTTTAAATTGCCTCTGCTTCGTGTGAATTATTGTTGGGCTCAGCTCCACACTTGTTGGGAGATATTTGTGCTTATTGTTGTCATTGTTTCCTTTTTCTCCATGACCATGATTTGGTCTGTTAAAAAAATACATGTTCATTGTAAGAGTGTAAATGGCATAAGCTCTATTGATGAGCATTTCTTGTGCTCTTAGAACAAATCATGAAATGCAAAGTTAAAAATATTGTTAATAAAGAGCATG